TTTCATTGTCATACAATCCCTCCCCCCAGGTCCACTGCACTGTGCAGCCTTCGTTCTGGACTCCCGACATGACAATAATACCTAATCATATACCCCTTTTGAACAGGTCTCTCCCTCATCTGTTTCAATGTAGTATACATTATTTATCCCATCTTTTTCAGTTTCCCCTCAACCCTAAGGTCAGTCCCGTTTTACAACAGTGTGATGCCAGCTCTGCATCTGGTGGCATAGTGGTTAAAACAGTTGGCTGCCAATCTCAATGTCACTCATTCAAACCTGAACCAATCTGCTACTCCATGAGGCAGATAAGACCGTTAACCTTGGTTAAAATGTACAAGCTCAGAAGCCGTGTGTGGGATGGGCTTGCTCTGCCCTGGACGATCGCTAGGAAGCAGAATCAACTCAGGAGTGTTGAGGTTTTGGATTTTGCTTTGAATCTGGGATGACTAGAGATCTAAATAGGACTGAATCTCTCCAAGGTAAAAATATGTGGGCAGGTAAAGCTTTGTTCTCTGGAGTTATTTGAACTCATCATCTCATGACCAACCTGGGTTACAGGCAGCCCTACTGTGGGAACTCCCAGCAACCTCTGAGGCTGGGCTTAATCACTTAGATTCTTTAGTGTAGAAACAGAAGTGAACTTGGAAGAGAATGTTCTAGGCTTATCATTCTCCAGTGTGTTTACACTCAATTTTCTACTTCTTGATTTAATCTTCACATGGCTCATATGCCTCCTGATTCTCCACTACAAAATAATACTAATACATAAAGAAAAGGTCACTCCATGGCCTAGAGTTATATAATATAGAAATCTCTAATAGTTGGGCAATTTGGCAAGACACCTTCACTGTAAAAGAACAGAAACACCTTAGAGTTCATCCAGTCTAACCCTTCATTTTATAGACATGAAAAATGAATCCAAAGACTATTGGTTTAAAAACCCAACAAAAACAGTACATTCAATAACGTGAAATCTCAACATGCACTCTAAGCTAATTTAGACACTTACCCCAAATCCATGTTGCACGGTAAAGAGAATAAGAATTTGTAGCCTACAAAAAAAAAAAAGAAGAAGAAGAAGAAGAAAGAAAAAAGGTCCAGATTAGCATAAACTGTTTCTTTTTCAGGTAGAACAAACTGAAATAAAGCAGCTCAAAGGCACGCATTCCAGGAAGCACTGCATCTGGGGGAGGTTGTCTGCAATGAGAAACATCAGTCACCAGGAGGCAAGCCCAGATCTCTGAACAAAGAGAAGTCTTCTGAAAGAAACGAAGAGCTCACACCGGAGACACTTACCAGTGACCTCTGGTGAAGGGCTGGGTCCATCCAAAACAGTGTCCTAGTGCAGCCATGAGCCCCGGACTCTTCAACCATCTACCAAGTCAAGTCTTGATACTGGGCAGTAGGGCAGGGAGAGAAATACAGACATAGCAAGTGGTTTAATGCCACTGAGTCAGAACCAGCCCATAGCTGACCCTCCAGCAGGTCTTAAGGGCTTGTAAATCACACAGGAGGAGATTCCCCAACTTCCTCCTGTGGCGAATCTGAAACGCCTGCCTTTGAGTATAGTGTTGTTTTTGTCTCCTTACTATGAGATAGATATGGGGAAAAAATACACACACACACACACACACACACGAGATAGAATCAGGAGTGGCATCCACTTCCGAAATAGCTTGCCTCTGAAAACTCTATGAACATGGAGAAATGAAATGAAAGTCATACAAGTGTTCAGGTCTTTCATTCATAGGGTCGCAATGAGTCGTTTATGACTTGACAGCACTTAACAACAACAACATATATGTATATATGGATGTGTATATATATGTGTGTGTGCATATATATGTATGTATGTGTATCATATGTCTATGTGTGTATATATGTATGTATATTTATCTATATCTAGATATCTAGATAGATATATCTCTATCTTTCTATTGCCATGGGAAAGTCTGCTGTTAGGGACCTCTCCAAAGTACTGAAGAACAACAGTGTCTCTCTGGAGACTAAGGTGCGCCTGATACAGGCCATGGTCTTTGCAATCACTTGTTATGCATCAGAGAGTTGGACAATGACTAAGGAGGATAGAAGGAGAATTGATGCCTTTGAGCTGTGGTGCTGGAGAAGAGTATTGAGGGTACCCTGGACTGCCAAGAAAACAGATTCATCCTGGAGAGGGTTGAACCAGGCAGCTCCTTGGAGGCAAGGATTCTGAGGCTCTTTCTAACATACTTTGGACATGTTGTAAGGAGGGATCAGTCCTTGGAGAGGGACATCATGCTTGGGGGGGGGGGTGGAGGGATAGTGCAGGAGGGGAAGACCCTCTATGAGGTGGATTGATTCAGTGACTGGGGTAATTGAGATGGGTGTGTCAGAGATGGTGCAATTGGCACAGGACAGAGCAGAGTTTAGGGCTATTGTACATAGGGTCGCTATGAGTCACAAGCGATTCAATGGCATATAACAACAACATCATCTATCTGTCTGTTTATCTATCTATCTATCTAGCGTCATTGTTGTTGTGTACTGCAGAGTCAGAAGCAACCCATAGTTGACCCTCCAGCAGGTTTTCAGAGCCAGTTAATCACACTGGTGTGCCTTTGGGACTGCAGTGCAGCTTCTCACCATTAGGCTACCAGAACCCCATATAAAAATGGCAAACTTGCACATGTACAACAAAAATATACAGAAACATTTTTTTATGTCAAATAATGCAACCACTATGATGGAATACAGTGAGATAGTTCCTCAGACGATTAAACATAATCATTACCATGTAATCCACCAAGTGCACTTCTAGGCATGTATGTAAGGAATCTAAAGCCACTTGTTCATGCAATAATCTGCACATGAAATTGATAGCAGTATTATTCTTAATTGTTATAATGTGACAATGAAAGGATAAGCTAAAGATGAAATACAATTCCACCTCAGAAATGAATGAAGTTTTGATACATGTGCTACAACAGGGACAGACTTTGGCGAGCTCTGGTGGCCTAGTGGCAAGAAGCTACACTGCAATCCCAGAGACAGATGTGCTGTTCGAGTCCACCAGATGCTCTGCTGGAGAAGGAAGGACAATCTCTTCCTGTACCTGTCAGATCTAATTTGATGGTACACATACAAAAAATAATTTAAAAAATTAAAAAAAAAACAAAAACCTACATTGACAATTTGAAAACACTGTACCCATGAAGGAAGGAAGAGGCCAGGCATTGTCTGCTCCCGTTGATATGACATGTCCTTAAGTGGCAAATACAAAGACAAAACAGAGGGGTGGCTACCAGGGCTTGGGGGAAGCGGAGACATGGTTTCCACTGGGTGATAGTGGAAATGTTCTCGAACTAGTCGGCCATGGTTACACAATACTGTGACTATAAAAACGATTGAATTGTCCACTTTAAAATGGTTGTTACAAGTTGACTTGTGTCCCTCAAAATATGTGTCAACTTGGTGAATCCTTGATTCTCAGCATTAAGTGAAAGGCTGGAGGTTCAAGTCCACTGACAGGCACCTTGGACCAAGGTCCTGGTGATCTGCTTCTGTGGATCAACTGTTGAGAACTGTCAGAGACTCACACTTCGAACTGACACACATGTGGTCCCTATGAGCGGTCCATCAGACTTCTCCACAACAAAGTTGCCCAAAAATGGGACAATTTCTATTTCCTCTGATCATAAACGTCTACATTTCTGGGGTTTTGTTGTTGTTGTTGTTGTTGGTTTTGGTTTTTTAAGAACTGAATTCTTTATTTGCGATATCCATAAACGTTGCTATTCAATGTCTACGTTTTGGATTGGCTTGCCATTACGTTTGCAGTTCGTTGCCTTCCAGTCAGTCGGGATTCACAGCTTTGCTGTGGCAACAGAACCAACCCCACCCCTACCCGTCACCATATCCTCACCACCTCGGCTGTGCTTGGCCCACTGTTGAAGCTACTGCATCAATCCAACGTCAC